GGCAATTAACTACGATTAGACAATCTGTCAAGGAATATGAACATTAAACGTTGGTTCATTGACCTTGGTAGCCATTGGCGGGTAACTCGAAGGCGCGAGTGGTTCGATCGTGTACAAGTTCGAAGAAGACGAAGTAATAAAAGTATTATATAATTCTCATATGATCTGTGATTAAGATTTGACCGGATAGTTGCAAAATAATTGAGCGCTGAGTGAGAAGTAGACATTTATAAAATTATATTTGTAAAATCTCGGCGAAATTGAAATGATTAATTCCAACGTTTCGTTCATCAATCTAGTCCGAACTTCTTCAGGGAAATAATCGAAATTAACATAACAAAGTTTAAAAAACAAGAGTTGTTCCTTTTATATATACACCTCTGTTATGTTAATTTCGATTATTTCCCTGAAGAAGTTCGGACCAGATTGATGAACGAAACGTTGGAATTAATCATTTCAATTTCGCTAAGATTTTACAAATATAATTTTATAAATATCATATAATTCTGTATAAAACATTTGTTTATAGCCTTGTAATTGTCTTTACTTTAATTGCCAAACAATATAACTTCCTTCAAAAAAGTACTGGTGTTTTGGAGTTGAAGCCGAGACAACTACACAGTAATTATCAGTTCAGAGCGTCTTCGTTACAATAGGAACTTAGGGCTAAGTTCTTTGACAGTTTTTATTCATCTGTTCGTTTTCTGGAGCGCCTTCTGGAACTCTTCCGAGTGTACTTACTAGATCTGCAACCAGCTGCTCTTTGGACACGGATTATCAACGCAGTTTCGATCCTTTGGTGACGTCGGATAATGCCTGGGTCAAGGAAGGGACGTGGCACCATGGAAGCAGACAAAAAAGTAAGTAACGATGAGTTGCCTGTTAATTGTAATGATATGCATGATGCTCAGCAGGATGAGTCTGATGTTCACGCTTTGCCGTTTAGGGATAGTAGTGCTTTAAGGCTCCCTAATTTTGAGCCTCGGTACTTTGACGGAAACCCAGCCGACTACCCACAGTTTATCAAAGAGTTTGAGGTCATGTTGAGTGGTTTTGTAATAAATGGCGAAATGAAGTTAATGTATTTGTTAAGATATTGCACTGGTGTTGCTGGAAGAGCCATACAGTGCTGCAAGTTTATGTCCCCGAACGAAGGATATACAGAGGCTGTGAGGATACTACGTCAAAGGTTTGGAAAACCGTTTATGATATCCCGTAGTATTTTCGAGACGGTGATAGGTAATGGATCACAGTTAAACGATAATTCAGAGTGGCTCGCAGAGTTTTTAGACAGTTTAATGGTATATAGAAATACTCTCGTGTCTCTTAATTGCGTAGATGAATTGAATTCAAGCTCTGTTCTTGAGACTGTTGTCAAGAGATCACCGGTTCGTCTACAAAGGAAGTTCATAAAGATCAGTTCCCGCCTAGAGGAGGAAGGTTTAGAGCCCACGTTGGATGACATTGTGAGTCTGGTGAAAGACAGTGTCAACCAAGCTTTGAGCAAGTTTGCTAGTATACTGTATCCCACCCCTAGAATAGAGAAATCAGAGAGCAAAACGCAATCACTTATGACGAAAGGGTCTCAGAGAAGTGAATATCGATAAAGCTATATGATGTCTAGTAATCTATACAAGCCTAATGAGTGTGACAACTTTCGTGGGACGTCCCCAACAGATAGGTTACAAGCTGCAAGACAAACACGGTTGTGTTTCGTCCGTTTGCATGAAGTGTATACAAAAACGAACTGTGGAGCAGTGAGGAAGTTTAGTTGTAAGCTAAATGTGAAGTCAGCGTCATCGTGTTCTGACTCCGAATCTTGTGACGATAATGGTGCGGTGAAGAAGCCTGTAGTTGCAACTGGTAAGCTGTTGTTGAATAAATTATCACAGACGACACCGCAGTTTGTGCAGAAGAAGAGAGTTACACTTTCAGAGTCCAGTTCTGACTCCACAAGTTTACAAGGTATTACTAGTCATAGTAAAGGTATGATACCTTTAAGGATTCATGAGGAAGAACCCAAGTCATCTACTGCTGTTATTAAAGAAGTTGAAAATGATGAAGTCGGTCATACGAACGGTGATAAAGTGGATATTTGCGACAATGGTCAAGATAGTGCACATTTGTCTTTGGCTGATCATGATGAGATGAGCGGAAGGCCTACTACTACTGAGTTGAACAAAGGTTCTGTACAACTTGAACGTGAAGTAGAATTAAAGGCAGATGCGGTTGCAGAAGGTATGGATACTCATGAGACCGTCAGTGTAAATGATCAGCGTGTAGCCCACCTATCAACAGATGTTAATGCTAAACATCCCATCAAGATGGGATGGAAAACTCTGTCCACAAGAATCACATGCCAACACTTCCTACAAACAGATCAGTGATCTCAGTTAACTCAAAGAAAGATCACATCCTAGAACAACATATCACTGTATCACACATCCACAGAGAGAAGCACTAAAATTAAAGATTAAAGAGGGACAAAGGCAAATAATAAGGATTGAGTCTACAGATTATGTGCAAGCGTCAGAATAATGACATACAGTCTATGAGAAAAAAGGATAATAAGTACAAAGTTATTTAAAATATACAAATAAGCATCAGCATGGTAATTATATATTTCGGAAAGGATTTCCTATCCAGTTATCCCGTTTCACCTTTACCTATATGAACTTTATACGTCTGCATTGTTCAGCCTGTAATTTGAAACTAATAAATATGTTAATCACGTTTGACTTACTGAATGTCATTCCCCAAAAATTTAATGGTAAATGTCCAGATAAAAACTTAGATGACGATAAAACTAAGACTGAAAATCTCTAAAATCCCGAATTAATTCTTTATCAACAAGAGATTTAGAGATTCTGAAGTATTTTTAGTTGATGAACTGGAACTACTTTATTGAATGATGATAATGACTTAAAAGAATTATGAAAATTCTATATTCAGCAAGAAAACCTACTCCAACAAATATATAGACTTCGGATCATCACACCCCATGATAATGGATGAAAAAGAAAAAGAAGAAGGAATATCAAACGTTAGTGAGACTCTCCAGCAAAACAGCTACCCAAAAAGACTTTATCAACAAAATCAACACTGATATTAAGTATGGTCGAAAACGTATTCCGAAAACATGGACCTCAACAGTTGTTATTCCATATAGAGCGAAGACGTTAGAGGACATCAGAAGAGTACTCAATAAGCTCAACACCACAGTTTTCTTCAAAGCATCAGACACACTGTGAAACAACCTTGTCAATATAAAAGACAAAATCCTTAAAGATTCTCTATCTAATTTTGTCCATAAGATAAAGTGCTTGGAATGTGATGCGATATACGTCGGACAAACATCGCCAAAGAGGAATCAAAATCAGAAGAAATGAACACCGTAGAGCATCTGTTCGACCACCGAGAAATCCGGTTGAACTAGAAAAACTCGAAAAATCATCAACCATAGACCGACATGCTATAGTATCAGGCCACAAAATCGATTTTGACAATATTGAAATCATCATCCAGATAAAGCATTTCAGAAATCACAAAGAACGTCTAATATCAGAATCACTTCATATCAAGTGGAATCTAAATTGTCTGAATAGGAATGATGGACTAAAACAGAATTTGACATGGTTACAACACCTCCCTCCCTACCCCCCACCAATGAAATGACAAAATCAACACGAATGTGATAAGCAAGTTCATTATGTAAACACACACTGCTTTTATCATTTTACACACTTATCAAATCCAACAATCTACACCTGGTTTTGTTATCTTTACACCAACTGGCCAATTTGTCAACGAAAAATTCCCCCATGTTGAGGAACGATGATTGAGTTGTTATATATAAGCTGAGAGTTTGTAAATTCTGGTTAAATAATACTTTTATAGATAGCGAAACTTCAGTAAAAAACAATACCGTTTTGTTTTTCATTGATTGGGAAATACAAAAAACCTTTATCATTCCATTATGGGTAAATTTTATTTTGATAGAGTCATTCATTCATAAATGAATTTAGGAAGTCGTGTGATTACCTTGATATGATTATGAGCAATAAATTGTGCTCGAAACGTCATCAGTAAATATTACTGTATAACACTGTGAGACTCTATCAAAATAAAATTTACCTATATTGGAATTACACTCTACCTCAGTGCCCAAGTTTTATTCTTAAACCTTTATCATATTGAAGAATCCTTTCTGATTATCAGTTTTGTGCTTTGTGCTAACTGACTACAGTCTTGAATTCTGACGTGTATTTTAATTTTTATTCGAACTGTGGGGTAAAGAAAAGTCAAAATATTAAAGCGATATTTTTCGACATTTTCCATATTTTAATTTGTTCAGAAAATTTTAGACTTAATAATCAATAGGTATCCTCAAGAAATGAACTCATTTGTGCAAAATTCTGACTAGCATATTTTACTTTAGTGTGCCGAGAAATGAAATGCTCATGAATCATCACCTTAAAGATTCTTAATCTGCTACCTACCATATTTGATAGGCAGTAATCACTATTCATAACTTGCAAACTACTGTAGAATAATCGTATTCAGTAGTTTCGATTGTGTTGCTATGTGTTTCTAGTTCATCACTGTGCTCTACTTAATCCGATAAGTTTACAGCTTGTAAAATCATATGATGTAAGTAATTAGAGACTTGATTCGCCAATGTTTGTTTTGTTTTTTTGTTACTACATGTTAATTTAAACAAAAAGTAACATTCATTCTGGTCAATTTACATGCATATTTCAACCCACAATGTAAACTTTGTAGTAATTATTACTGTTAACACTTTAATCTAATCCACATATATGTGTGACCTTTGTGACTATTCTTTTCTTTTCGTGACTCAAGTAGAATCTTCATACACTTGATTATTATCTAATGTAAGTAATGATAAAAGCTAATGCCCTCAAGATAAACTAAAGTAGACTTTAAGTTGTATAGATTTTAAGCCAAATAATGATCGTGATCTAAGTGTAGAGGTCGTGACAAATATGAATTCGTATAAAGTCTAAAGCTATAAATACATGTGTGAAGAGTAAATTTGTTTATTTAATTTGCAAATAACCATACAAGTAAGTAAATCTTATACACGTACTTTATTTAAATTCTGTAATTAATAACATTATAAGTATAACCCGCTAGACAACTCAAAGCCGATTACAAGTAGGTAAAAGTGTGGAAGGTTCGAAGACAGGGTAATAAGTTTGCCAGTGAATTGTTTAGTTATTTAACCAGATCGTAAATCACATTCCTATTTGTTTACAAAGATCTGTTTTTACCAGTAGATGTTATAGTTAAACAGCTACTCTGACTGATTTCTTAGTACACTTTACTGGCTTCATAAATAGGCAAAATGGTAGTGGATGTGTATGCTATAGTTTGAACTGTATGTGACAAAAGGCCTAAAAGCGCGAAGTGGTCACTCTATGTCATGCACTGGCAGAAGTTAGAATTAATGGGCCATTAGATCAGGTCCCAGAGGCTTAATGGTTTACAAGCTTGCTAGCCTTGTAACCAGAAGGTCCTAGGTTCGAACTCTGGCGGTGGGTGAGTATTGATGAAGAGTTCCAAACTAGTCTGACGAAACAGCTGTCCATTACTCCCAGGCAGGTTTTCCAATGGTTCTCTAACTGATAACAACTCATGATGGTATCCTCCGACCAGTCAAATAAAATCCCTTCAAAACCAATACTTGAACATTTTCTGAAACTTAATCCTCTTAAAGTGATATACATAAATGAAGTTATGTCTACATCTGCCATCTTGATTCACTCTGATAAAATGAATATTTCATAATGAATTGAGATTATTATGAAAGTAGTTGAGAAAAATGTTAACACATGGTGATAATTATTAATTTTGCTAAAGTTTGTAGCAAAATTAATTGTCGTCATAACACCAACTGTTGATACACTTCTTCTACAAATTTTCTGACTTAGGTCATGTATGTATACATATATATATATATATATCACTTTTATGTCTCATGATTAATTATTTACATAACAAACAGTATGTTGAATTATATTGGAGGTTGTGTTGACAAGCGTTTCTTACCCGAGTCATCCATCGATTTTTCTGTATGTTTAGGCTGAGTCTTACGGTATAATCCCAGCTCCATTGAATATTTGTCTCCATATTTTGCACTAGGCGCTATAAGTCAGTATTCTCCTAATTCTTTTTCTTGCTAATATGAACTGGCATACAGTTACTCAGACCCATTCATTCAATTTTCACCCCAGTAAACTTAACTTCCAGCCTACAAAGTCAACATGACAGTCAGTTTAAGACATTTTGTATAGTCACTTAGTGAATCCATCATTTGGTTCTGTTGATTTCAAATAAGTCTGAGTAGAATAAATGCAATTCGAAATCCCATCTTCGTGGCGTTTCTTTGAACTGTTTCCTTTGTGGCAGTAAAATAAAATTCGACTAATAATTATCTTTCTTCCTTAAGTATCTCTATTTTAATAAAGTATAATTATATTTCAATAGTTTACACACAATGATAAGTTTTGTTATTGGTAATATTTCCAGCAAAATTACTGCCCGTGTTCACACCACTATTGGAATTGTTTTGTTCACACATTTATGATTTGTACTCATATATATAGTTCATTATTTTTGCTCATTCATGTTGTTTTTTGTATTCAGAATTATATTCCGAGTTGTTGATAGTTGTACTGAGTCACCCTTGTTACATGTATCCGGTGTGACTTTAATGAATATCGATTCTGTTATAAGTCTTTCTTTCCATTTGTTCATGTTAGTTTTTAGAATACACACATTGTTCCAATAGATATTGTGGGTTTTTTCCCATGCATGTGCAGCTATCGATGAATTTTTTTCAAGATTTTTGTAAGCTTGTGTTGCTGTTGGTTGACCTTTGGTTAGGCGTCAATGTTCATTCACTCTTATTTTGAGTGATCTGGACGTTTGCTCCACATATTTAGTCGGACAGTCAGCACAAGATATTTTATAGATCAAGTTGTATTTATCCATCATTTTTATGGGATCTTTCAGTTGATTTATTTTATTTTTGATTAGATCTGTCGGTTTAAAAGTTGCGCGAATGCCGATATTTTTGAGGTTTCTTTGAATTGCCTCTGATGTATCATTTTTATATGGTATTGTGACTGTGCTTTTTTGCATTCTTCCATCTTGTTATTCTCCGGTTTTACCCTCTTTTTTCTCTTATCTTTTATAAATTCTTTGGGGTAGTTATTTTCGAGTAGCATTTTGAATAAGACGTGTATTTCTTTACATTGGTACTCTGGTGTTTTTGCTCGAAATATTACCAATAACAAAACTTATCATTGTGTGTAAACTACTGAAATATAATTACACTTTATTTGATTCAATCCACAATGCTCAAACATTTTACGGAAATTATCTCTATTCTCTTTTGTTTTATTTTTATTTTTATTGTCTATACAATAAATTATGAGACTCTGAATAAGTCTTAATGAAGTCTTCTAGTGGGATATTTCGTAAATATTTTAAGCTTTATTGATCATAGACGTTTATGGAATGAATAGCCGGCAATATCATCAACTAAGGTTAGTTGTAAGAATCACTCATTTTATATGTATGACTGGTGTAATCTAACACAAAAAACCTTTAATAACGAGCAGAATATTATCAAGTAAAAAAATTCTTATCCAATGTAATTACAAAGTGTGACAACTGACCACAGATGAAACAATAATTCACTACTGTTTACCAATATATATTTTGTTAATTTATAGCCAGGTATGATGCTAAAATACTAATTTATAAACTTGTTTACACGACTCTCATGTGAGCATAGAGTATGTAGTCTCCATAACTTCCTTCTGAATCAATGTATCATTTACGCAAACATTACCGTTTCTTATTATCGCGAGATTACCCAATTATCAATTTGAAACTGATCAACTGACTCTACAACTTATCGTTTTGTGTAACTAACACAATTTTTATCTAGTATCATTATGCTGTAATAATAGCTATAATTTATGAGATTATGAATTTCATGTACGCTTAAATATTGGTAAATTTAACAAATTTATTTAAATTTTTTTCTAAAGATAACCCTTATATATGGCAAAAGTTGGTAAAGGCATACAAGCATGTTTATCATGGGTTCATGAAAGAGGTGGTCGTGTACCATCGAATGCTGTGGAAGCTGGTGATGGAGTTTACATAGCTCGCATGTATCATTCTGGTGATTTAATCCCTGGAAAATTGGTACCACATTTGGGTAAAGCATATGCTAGTTACGGTGGTAAAGAATATGAATTCGATTCCTATGAAGTGTTGTGCGATACAAAATTACCTTTTCGATCTCAAAACTGGTAAGTGTTGTTGCTCACTGGCGTGTTTTCTTATATGTTCAGTGTTACGCCGTTTTGATATTAACACAAAATAATAGGTATATGTGTCTAAACCAAATTCACTTTTAACAGTTTGAAAAAATTTGGGCATTGAGTATATGATATTCATTATAATAAAGGTTTTCTTCTTTTCCCAATGAATGAAAAACAAAACGATATTGTTTCTTACTGAGGTTTCGCTATTTAATGCCTCTTATAACTTTATCAAAGTATTATTAAACCAGAATTTACAAATTCTCAGCTTTTGCATAACAACTTAATCATCGTTCATCAGCATAGGGTAATTTTTGCGTTGTCAAGTTGACCAATTGGTGCAAAGATAACAAAACCAGGTGTAGATTGTTGTATTTGATGTGTGAAATTATAAAAGCAGTGTGTGTGTTTACATAATGAACTTGCTTATCACATTCGTGTTGGTGTTGTCATTTCATTGGGGTGGGGGTGGGAGGGAGGTGTTGTAACCATGTCAAATTCTGTTTTCGTCCATCATTCGTATATAGACAATTTGGATTCCACTTGATATGAAGTGATTCTGATATTAGACGTTCTTTTTGATTTCTGAAATGCTTTATCTGGATGATGATTTCGGTATTGTCAAAATCGATTTTGTGGCATGATTTTATAGATTTTTGTAAATTTTGGTTTAATAATACTTTGATAAAGCTATTAACAGCATTAAATAGCGAAACGTCAGTGAAAACAGTATCGTTTTGTTTTTCACTCATTGGAAAAAACAAATATCCTTTATTATAATAAAAAATAATGGGTATGTTATCATTTAGGTCTTCTGATACTTTAATATTCACTTGTTCTTTCGGTGAGAAAATATAAAATGGGAATCCCTTTTAAAGTATACTGTAATGTGGATTGTTTGACAGTTTTAATGGCTCAAAGTGTGAAAAGTTTATGTGGACAGCGTGATGGCTGTGAGCATGAAATCTGTGTGGTTCCAAACTATGATGAACCAGCTAGTTAGTGATCCTTGGAATCCATTCTGCACAAGAACTTATTTGAAGACTGCCATTCAAAAACCTTTAAAGCGATCCATTATAAGATACTAGTTTCCTTAGTGAAGCTTTGAAGTAAAAATGTCGTCCGATTGTGAATAGAATATAAACTATATTTATTATCAGAATGATGCGTTTAATTGTGAATACTAGTAACTTCTATCAGCTACAAAACTAAGTTTTCTGGTTTCAAACATATCTCTTGTCCCTCAAACTTGGAATGCTCTGAACACTGCGAGCTATATTTACAAACAAAATCCCGAGAATGAAACTTCCACATGACAGGTATTGCATAAACGTACACTGGATGATATTTATTTATATTCGATGATATTTGACATATTCATAATATTACATATTATTTATAATTATATAATTTATAATCACTAATTTTATGTGTAAATAGAGGGGAATTATGTATTTTAACTGACATGACAAAATCACTAACATTCTAAATAATGCTTGACATTTTTTTCTTTTAGTTACATGTGGGAACGACACAGCTGTGGAAATGTTCCAAAATATGCTGTCGTTGGTGGTATTACCTCTTCTGAAGAGGCGTTGTACATTGCTCGTGAATATATTGACGGGGAACGTGTAGTTGGAAAGGTAAATTTGAACCCACTGATCTTGGTTTCAAACATTTGGTGATTTTTGGAATTCATCAGCAGTACGCACCCACCGGGGTTTGAACCCAGGACCTTCTGGTTACAAAGCGAGCCCGTAGACCACTGAGTCACTGGGACCCGATCCAATGGTTCTTGAATTCTACCTTCTGCCAATTCAAGACATAGCGCGACCATTTCGCAATGTCCTCTGCTATGAGTTACTGCCTTATCTTTGACCTGCTGTACCCTACTGGTCACGGCTTCCCACTAGAACCCCAGGTTAACTGCCTGAATAGGGCCAGTCGCTAGTGAGCATCAGATTAATTTTCAAGTACAAAACCAATACTTGAAATTTTTTAGAATTCATTCAGTTATTGTTATAGTAAGGTATGCGTTGAAAAATTAGATCCACTGTTTACTTAATACTGAAACATCTTTGTGTGGTGGGATCGGTGCATCGTAAGTGATGAAGTATACAGTTAGCAGTAAGTTAGGCTGACCTAATTGTCTTCTCAGTTTTAAAATGATCAGAACCAAACTCAAAACAGTTACTATTGTTGACAAGTTAAGGTAATTAATGTTACTGGAATGTGCACAAAAGGAAATAATTCAAGGACATATATATTCGACATGACCCATTAGTAAGCGCCTATTTCTACTAAAACAAAATGAAACGATAGTGCCATCGAACTGTTTCAAGTCACGACTTGTCATTTCCGCAGCCAAACCTTACGTACTAAATATTTTACAAAGATGTTTTCTAATGAACTAATTAGTGAGGTACCACTTTTAGTATAAACTCTAACAGTTGTTGAATCTAGTAATTTGGACCAATTAATTGACTCTTACAAGCATAAGAAACTATTATCTAGAAACTGTATTGCAATCCTGATTTATTTTCACGTAGACTTTAAGTCATGGATTGCAGAGTCTAAACTAAGTCTAACCTATTGCATAATGATTGTTCTGGTTCATACAGAAATCCCTTCATGTATAACATATTGAAAACACCACAAATATTTTATACTTTCATCGAGTTTACTTTTCACTTTTTGACACCAGTAACTTCATAAATCAGAAAGCATTAACAAAAGACTAACGTCTTTCATAAACTGATAAGTTACATCCAAAATAGGAGAGACAAATGGACGTATATTAAGGGAAATAAATCAATGGCTGTTTAACAAAAAATCGGTGTTTGTGTTCATTTCCGTGTTTAACTGTGAGAGTTATATTTTATTTTGTATTCCCTTACGTTTCCACTAGAACATAGGGCTTCAGGCTACAGCTTTGAAGTTTCGGTAGCAGTGGTATTAATTTTTTACGGAATGGGGTTGCTAGCCTCACGCTCAAGCTTCCCTCTTTACTAGTCTTATTTCTGCGTGGTTGGCCAGCAGCCTACCGCACCTTAACTGTGAGAATAACAAATTATTATCGTTTATTCATCAAATGAGACGTTTCTGTTAATCATCTGCTAATATCATGTGTTACCTTGACAGTAGATGTGATTTCACATTATTTTTTTCCTCTCCATCTTATTACAGGTACATGAAGGACATGAATGTGCCTACTTCCCTTATGGTGGTGAAGAAAGAAAACTGCATCATTATGAAGTTCTTGTATTGATTAAATGATATCATGGAAAAGAGTGTCTCCATCACATCAGCATAATAAATTTCCTTCAGTGTCATTATTTTTATTTGTTGAATCAGTAAAGTTTATACGTATTTTATCTGTCATTACTTATTACATGATGGTTGAAATCTTAATGAAATAGTCTTGAAATCAAGTAATAAATTGGTTTTCACCTCTTGCTAATATTATCATTACAAAGGCTCTCAAATGAAGTTCTGTGAATATGTTAATAACCTCTTTTACCGAAATAAAACTGTATTGCTTCTCAATACACAGTTGAGTATTTTCCGGGGATCTCTAATTGAATACTGATCAGATTTCCCTGTTTATTTTATAATATGTAGAACAGAACTGCTAGATTATGAACAGGGAACAGCTTTTTATTTCTAGTTCAGAGGCGCCACACAAAGCGTAACCACTATCCTTTGAGACAACTGATTAAAAATTGCTTATACTCTTTTTCCACGAATTAACATGAAGAATCTAAGAAAAACAGATGCATAGCATGGTTATCTCACCTCACTTTCTATTAATTCTCAGATAAAGACAGCAATAATAGTAATAACCAGAAATTGTCAAATGTTTATGATAAATCATCGCACTCATACATGTCTCGGTTGGTCTCACAGCTATTAACTCTCGATTATGTCTTCGAATAATAAGTAGAAATTACTATAAACAGTTCAGTCCTAAGTGCCTTTTATATTATCAAATTGGGCTCTGTTTTCGCATTTCAAAGAACTCCTCAGCCATTATTCATATTTATGCACAACATTTGGATTCTTCTTTCTTGTGAATAATAATTAAGCAGAATGTAGTAACCAACACTGAAAATACTACTGAAAAAGCCTCAGATGGAATAATAATCAAACTGACACGGTATTCGAGACCTCAGCTACTAGTGATTTCAGCTCAAGTCTGTCAGGGAGATAAAACCTGTATACACAAAAAATTAGAAGTTTAACATGGGATGTTAACTCAGGGATGAGAAAGATGAGTCGGCCGGTGGTCGAACTCATGACCATATGCGTCGCTGGTGGGTACCTTATCGCTATCTCAGATGTGTAGATCATAGGTGTTGCGAATTTCTTGAATTAATGCAAATGGCAACTTTATATGTAGGGAATTATTTCTGAAGACCGTAGATTGTAAATCTTGAATATTAGACTAATGAAATTATGAGGATTTCTGTATATTTAATCCAAGTGAGAGGATCTAACTATTTCTGAAGACTCTTCCGCTTAATATACTACACTGCTGTCAATACAGAATATGCACCGTACACATTTTAACTAGTGGAAAATGGTATGAAAATGTTGGACGACTGGAAAAATTGTTTTCTTTTCAAAATTTCAATTTTTGTAAATATGATTTAGAATTAACTATTCTCCAAATTTTCCCATCAAAAGGTAATGGTCTAGTTGACATTCATTATGACTAACACGTTATTTAAATCAATTAGTTCCTTTTATGAATTTAGACAAAGCAATAAGAAGACGTAATCTGTTTGAATCGTGTAATGCATTTGAGCAATATATTTCGAACAATCTAATCGATCACACACGGACTTGTCATAAGATTATATATGAAATTAATAAAGAGTTAAGAGATGAGAAAATAGACTTAGGTCAAGTTAAAAGGACATATTGAAGGTCAAAATAGCAATGAAGATCACTAAACCAAACAACAGAGGTAAGAGTACATCTGCCCTGACTGGTATCAAAACAAAGTTTACTAAGGAAGGTAGGTTTAGTGTGATGACGAATTGTTTTTGAACGCATAAAAGTGGTTTAAACTTTCTAATTACTAGGGCTTCCACAAACTTTAGGAAACGCCCCAAACACGTTTTATAGATAGGTTTGAAAGATATGTTAACGTCAATTTTATGTCCTGTCTCTATAAGATATTTCGCATGTTATTCATAAATTAGATTCCCAACTATTAGATGGTTGGTGGCAATCGGCAGGAAGCCTTGAATCCAGGTTTCGTGCTAGTTGGCGCTCGTCAGTAAGGCGTATCTGAAAACTTGAAGGAACTCATGTCCCTTCTGAGATTCGAACTCACGTTACCTAGTGCTGTAGTCACAGATGTTGCCACTGAACTATTTGGGTTCCTGTAGGTCTGTATTGGGTATTTTTGATTGGACACCTGTTCTAAATTTCATCTATAATATTCTTAATACTGAATGCCAAATCATATTTTATTCACGATTTCCTTTCATTTAGGAAATCAGCTTCCAGTAAAGTTGAACGAGTTAGAAATTCAAGCGATCCTTGAAAAGTATTCTATATGCCGATTTGGTGGCTCATGCTTAAATCATACTTTCAGAATTATTAAACATGAAGTGATGATTGCAAAATCTCAACAGAAACTCAGGCTGCTGGTTGAAACAACAGACCATGGTGAGGTACAGTCACACGCATTTATACACACACAAACCAAACATGTATCGATACACTACACCAATATTCATTTTTGACTACCTGATTCACATGGTCATGCAGAATTTCCCGTAAGTGTCATAGAACAAACATTTAGTAATGCAAATCATAGTATGCAAGTCCATGTAGCCTAGAAAAGAAATCATAAAGAATAGCAGTACACAGTGTGTCATCATTAAGAAATTCCATTAATCGCGAAGGAGTAATCTCTAGAACGATTCTTTCAACAATGAAAATTAAGGTTTCACAATTTGTTTTTATATTAACACTGAAATCAACTCAAATTTCACCCATTAAAAATATTGCATCTATCCCTCTCAAAGAAATCTGTGCATGTATTGCACCTGAGATATCCATACGACTGGAATGTATACTTTCATTGTATGGTACACCAGGAGGATAGTTCAATTTTTGTATTATTTCAGTGTGGCTAGTGTCTTTTATTATGACTACTCAGGTGCTGCAATTTCCAATGGATGATAAAACAATAAGTCCATTTTAGTAGTCATCATGTTTAACATTACATTCAAATTATATTGCCCTCAGAGCATGACTGAAGTATCCTCCCACAGTGTTCAGCAAACAACAACTGATACATGTTTCACAGGGGTTGGTTCCTGTGACTTGTTATGGTAGTGGACAACTCATTAATGTCTGAAATACTTGGGGTTAGAAAATCATTAACACTAACGGAGACCCATGTGTACCCAGCTTGTAAGTCCCCAGTAGGACAGCAAACGAGTTTCAGGTCCCACTACCAGTGACCGCCAAGCGTCATGTATTTCTTTCTTTGATTCAAAGAATTTTAAAAAACCGGTGATACACACTGCGAATTTGTTTCACGAACAATTTATTTTGAATGCTAGAAGCAACACAAACATAAATTTCGTACAATCAATTTTGCTACTTAAAACTGCTTCAGTAATATAAGAGGAATACCAAAAAACTTGTTCATTGAAGAATTGCTTGATTTGATCCCAGTATATTTGGAAAATTGAAACAAATAATTATGATCATGGATTTAATAATAGTAGTAATATTCACAATAGAATTGAAAAAAATAGATGCGTCTAACTGCAAAAACTGAAAATATTATGTAATTTTGAACATAACTAAAAGAAACTAATCAAAAATCCTTGGTTAAACTATGAAGTTGTACAAACGTAAGACTATTAATTAAAAATTATGGAAAAATAATAGTAAAACACATAATCATCAGACAATAAATTTTCAGGAGAATAAGAACAACGAAATAACAAATACACTATGAAACACGAGGAACAAGGCAAGCGAACACGCCTAATGATAAGCATACTTTACACGAAAAACTCTACCATGATAGGTTTATAACGTTTACTAGCTTCTTCTGCAAATAGGGTTACATCTACCAACCCGTATTAAGAAAGCTATGTTTGGTTATAACTCGAAAAGTTTGCTTGCGACGAGGCTCTGTCCATAATCCTTAAGTTGCCTGTAATAGTGTAACGACAGAAGACAATGGCCAGGCAACAGATCGTTTATTTAGGAAATCAACAGATATTTATAGTATCAGAAAAAAGTTTGAGCATTGTGGATTAGATCAAATAAAGTATAATTATACTTCAATAGTTTACACACAATGATAAGTTTTGTTATTGGTAATATTTCGAGCAATGTGTGTATTCTAAAAGCTAACATGAACAAATGGAAAGAAAGACTTATAACAGAATAGGTATTCATTTAAGTCACACCGGATACATGCAATAAGGGTGACTCCGTACAATTATCAACAACTTGGAATATAATTCTGAATGCAAAAACATGAATGAACGTGGAATATAGTTTAAATACAAAAAAACATGAATGAGCAAAAATAATGAACGATATATATGAGTACAAATCATAAATGTGTGAACAAAACAATTCCAACAGTGGTGTGAACACGGGCAGTAATTTTGCTCGAAATATTACCAACAACAAAACTTATCATTGTGTGTAAACTATTGAAATATAATTATACTTTATTTGATATTTATAGATTTTCATGTTCATTATTATAGATTATTGTAAGCAAATAAACACAGTCTTCTGATTAGTGGTTTCTCGCTGAACGTTAATCTTTCATCTCCTTGTGGCCGTTTCTTGAAGTTCAGATTATCTATTTGCAAATTGTATCCGCCTACGCAAAGTCTGCTGTGATTGGTTGTTGAATCTGTCTTTGTTCTTATTTTTCTCACGACCAATATTGGGGACGTAAACATTGACGTAAATTACTGTCTACCAATTTTGGCTAGCAGCCAGCTCTCACCACAATAGAGCACCATGGTGGTTCTCATCTAGTGTCATTTCAACCATCGCATCCTGAATCAGAACTAAAGAACCTTTAACTATGTCTTGAATCAGCTTGAATTACATTTCGGGCAGCTACTAGTCAGCTCAACTGGCTCATACATTTCTTTGCCCAACTTTCTTTCCTCATCTAGCGAGTCATCAATATTCCACCTGTCCATGAGACAGATTCAACCTCCATAGAAATCAAAATGATTGATCTGTTGCTCTGATGTATAAAGAAAGCTTAATGTTTACAAAAAGGATTTTGTTGTAAATAGTATTGTTTATTTGTGTTTTGTCGTTTAGATCTTAGCAATAGAAACATTCTCTACATGAATCCTTTAAATATTTCATTGTATTTTTTTCTGGCTTTATTTCCCATTACTAGATCTTATAGAAGAGATATTCACTTTATGTTTTTAAAGTAAACAAAATTATACTGATTACAAAAGATTCTATACAAATAATGCTGCTAAGGTAACCATCATATTTAACTGCAAGATACATTAGACAGTAAG